ATAGGGTCGCCCCTAACAACAACAACATCCATGAGTGTTAGATATTCTTCCATTTATACAGATCTCCCTTGGTTTATTGTAAGTGTTCTGTAGCTTTCTTAGTGTAGGTTGTATTAGGCAGGGGTCTCTAGAGAAGCAAAATCAGGACTCTTATGATTACATATATATAAGGATACGTTTAATTAGCAAAAAGGAATATAACAACAACTTAGTCTGCTGTTGTTTGTGGACAAAAACCTTTCACCCAAATATCCTGTGGCTTTTACATGTTAATGAAATGTATGTGGGAAATGAAGAGTGTGTGATTGTGAAACAATCAAAAGTGAGTCTGAAAGTAAAAGAGGTGAGGGTTTGAGTCCAGAAAGCCAGAGTCAGAACGGACACAACGGCAGCTAGTTTGTTCGGTTACATTCTGTTCTAGGATGAATCATCAGTCCCAGGACTATAGAAATTGTTATTTATCTCTCTTTAACGTTTTTCTCCTTATACCTATTCCAATATTCAAGTTTTATCTCTCCACAGATCTGGTCCATCTCCTTTTCTAGTTATATCACATATTTAGATTTATAAGGAACATGTGGCGTATGAGAATATTTGTGTAAAACTGATTGTGCAAAGTCAAAATTATCTTATGTCATAATCCTCTGTGGATTTTATGATATAATCAGATGCTGAAGCAGCTATTCTTGCTTCTGAGAAGGATCTGGCTGTACAATGAACCAGACAGCCTTGTTCACTCTTCTGGCAGTTGATGATATAGTCTCTATTCTTCTCCAACACCACCATTCAAAGGCTTCAATTCTTCTTTGGTCCTTATTCATTGTCTAACTTCTACCTGAGGAGATTTATGATACCATGGTTTAGGTTAGGTTCATCTTAGTAATAAAATATATATATATATATCATTTTTAACACTTTAATGCAGGGCTAGGAAACTTTTTTTTGGTAAAAAGCCATTTGGATACTTATCATTAGATGCCATACTGGTCAAATATTTGATTAACTCGCCCCTAAAGTGATGGCTGGAACTGCTCTTCTTTGGTGAGGTGGAGAATGTTAACAAGCACTCATGATTGCACAGGCCCCCAACCCAGGCTTTTCTCACCCCTGCTTTCAAGGGGTCTTTTGCAGCAGATTTGCTTAATATAATTCATTTTTTCAGTTCTTTCAAAAAAGTTTTTGTTCTTTGATTGAAGGAATGCTGAGTACTGAATGGATAGTGAGAAATAACAGAGAAATAACAACAGTATTAGCAAAATACAAAATCAATACAATATGCCAAGTTTACCTTCATTTTTATTAAGAAAAATTTTAACATTTTATTATGTAAATTATTTATACCTTTTATAAGTATTAAATATTCCATGTGAAATTTGTAATAGCCATATCAAAGCAGAATAGAAAGGGTTTTTTTTCCTTTTTGGTCCCAAAAGAAACCAATTGTACAATACCGTTGATGTGATTGAAGTATCTATATGATATCTGTATTAACTCCTAATAAAATGAAAAAAAGAGAGAAGATTTTATCAGAGAAAAACATCAAATTGTAAAGTTACGGTTCCTCTATGTTTCCTCCATCTAGGTCTATCACCTCATTTTTTTGTTTTTATTGTGAATTAGGTGAAGATTTATAGAATAGACACCCGGTCTTACTGCCTTCAACAACTCATGCACATTTTCTTTCAATTCATCCATTGCACTCCCTCAATGTACACTCATTTGTTTTGCTTTCTCTATATCTTTCCTACTTGGATTCTTGTGGCTTTCCTAACCCTCCGAACTTTGTCATTGGTTAAATAATGTCTTTTTGATCTCATATGGTTGATTGCTCTCACGAGGGGTGAATTCTCTTCCAGATTTAGTCTCAAGGGTACCAGTTGTCTCTCTCCAACTAGTAAATCTAGTCTCTCTTGAAACATTTGCTTTCTTGACTGCCGCTCCCATGGATATTTATTGTGGATCCAAGTAAAATGAAATCCTTGGCAACTCCAACTGAGTTAGTTAAAGTTTATTGTCCCAACCTGGCCAATAAACGCGTGTTTATTGAAGGGCAGAGAAATAAATGGCTTGGTGAGCCTCGCTTTTCTAGTTCTCAGGTCTCTTGTTTTGTGATGGTCAGACCAAGGTGCAATTGCCTTAGCCAGTTCTCTGCTTCAGCTTGCAAAGGCTCACTTCCTGCAAGATGTCCCTGAGGAAAAGCCACATGGACCTGTCCCGATGCAGCCCTGGGTGCTGGAGCAGCCGTGTGGAGACCCCTGCCAGCGCTGAGATGCTTACATGTTTACAGATTCAGCTTTCCTCATGCAGTTGGCATCATTGTATGTGTTTTGTAAAATGGAGGAGGACTTTGTGGATTGGTGTTGGACATATGGGTTAATGTTGGACTTGTGGGCTTGGGCAGCACTGGGTTGGGATGTTTTCTTGATGTGCACTTACCCTTTATATAAAACTCTCTCTTATACATATGAGTTTCTGTGGATTTGTTTCTCTGAAGTACCCAGACTAACACACCAATGTTGTCTTCACTTATCATGATGTTGATTATAGATGTAATTGTGAGGACTTCTGCTTTAAGTTGAGATGTACTCAATATTGAAGGCTGTAGTCTTTGATTTTTATCAGTTAGTGCTTCAAGTACTCTTCCCTTTTAGCAAGCAAGCTGGTATCAACTACATCTCACAGGTTGTTAATGAGTCTTTCTTCAAGCTTGATAGTCCATCCTTCTTCATGTGGTCCAGCTTCTCAGATACGTGCTCAGCGTATAGATGGAATTGTATGGTAAAAGGATACCATAGTTTCTCACACTGTATTTGATTTCAAACCACAGTATCCCTTCAGTTTATTTGAATGATTGCCTCTTAATCTGTGTTCAGGTTCCACTAGAGGTTATTCACAATTTGCTATGGTCCACAATGTTGCGTGCCTTTGTATAGTCAATAAAACATAGGTAACCCTCTTGATATTGTCTGTCTTCAGCAAAGATGCATATGAAATCAGGAATGCTAACCCTCATTCTGTGTCCGCTTCTGAAATGGGATCATATGGATGCGAATTCCCTGTTGATGTACTGTTGAATCATTTTTAATTATCTTCAATGAGTTATTAAGTAATATTTACTGATAGTAAATTCAAGAATATTATAATAAAAAATAACTTAATGTGTATTAAATGTCTACAATATGCCTGGCAGTGCCCCCACGTGTTTTCAAGTGGTTATTAACAGTTTAATATTCAATTAATAAAAAAAAATGGGCATTGATATTACCATCTTATTATTAATGAGGAAATAGAAGCAAAGGAAATATTAGTGGAAACATAGTTTCCCAGGGTCAATGCATTAAGGCAATGACAGACTAAAGCTAAAATTCAAGGAGCTAGATTTAGATCTCATGCTCTTAACCTATGCCATGGTTGAGATTTTTTAAATAAATTATTATTTTAAAATTTTTGTATAGCTTTATTAAAATATTTAAATTAATTTCTAATAATTTACATCCTGCAAGGAAATAGAAAATGTGGAAGCTTTTAATAGTAATGTTTTTGGCTCATGGATTTGGGATGACATTTAATTTTACCAAATATGTTAAGCTTGCAAATCCTGAGTCCTGGATGAATACTGTAAGTTATTATCTTTTTAATGCATAACTAATTGCTTTTGAGACGAGAAAACAAACCCCTATTTCTTTTCATGTAATAGTCACTTGAGCAAAATACTAAAACAAATGTGTTAGACATTATTTTCAAAAGTAAAACATCAATAATTTTTCTTTTCTCTCCACAGTCAGATAATTTCCTACTGGGGCTACCCAAATGGAGACTATCAAGTTGTAACTGAGGATGGCTTCATCTTGGGAGTCAACAGATCCTCATGGAAAAATAAACCCTAATGATACAAGTAGTTGTCATAAAAAATGTGACTTGATCTGAAGAGATTGTCTTCTCCAAAGGGGAAAAAAATCCAACAGTTTTTTCAGATGGAATATTCCAACTTGTTATTGTGAAAAGTGGACGAGTGTATTATCTAGAAAGCAAGAAACTTGGGGTACAGTTAAATATGTCATGATTCAATCAGACAGATTTAAGCAAATCAGTATCTCGGAACTTCGAGGTACTTTTAAGATTTTTTAATTAATTGGTAACCTCTATCTTTGCATCAGCAATGTGTTTAAAGCCACTGAATTGATCTTTTGTCTCTAAACATTTTATTAAAGATTGGATTTTTAAAGAGCTTTAACAAATCTATGATTATTTGTGAAAACAAAAACACTAAATTTCTTGCAATTGTTGCTTTGAGTATATCATTGAAACCACCTATGCACTTTTAAAATATCCTTTAAAGTTAGCACCAAACAAAGGAATTCCTGGGGGGTTACTTCTGTTTCAAGCAGGGATCCCCTCTTGTAGACATGGTTGTTAATACTGAGGCTACTTTCAAAATGTATATGTTGTATTTAAGGAGCACTGGGAGATCAGAAGCAAGATGAGCCTGTCTATTCCTGTAAAGAGAGAGAGTCTTGGAATCCCACAGGAGCAGTTCTACTCTGCTCTACAGGGTCAGCACACGTCAGAATTGACTTGATGGCAGTGGGTTTGGTTTGGTTTGGCTTGTTAGAGCAGTGGGTTAATTGTTGGCTTGCTAACCAAAGAGTTGGTGGTTCAAACCCACCAGTCACTCATTGGAGATTGATGTGCCAGTTTGTTTTCATAAAAAGTCTTCACCTTGGGGACCACGTGCAGCTGCCCTACTCTGTCCTGTAGGGGCTCTATGAGTAGGAATGAACTTCTCAGCAGTAGGAATTTTGTATATTGTATTGGAAGTTACTTACCAAAACCCAAAAAGAGCTATCATTCCATTAATTGCTGATTCCATTGCATATGGTAAATAAACCATTCTGAATTGGTTGTTTTGTTTTCAATGTGTGAGAAAATAGGACCACACATTTTCTAGAAGAAATGTTGCAAAGATACTGTATTAACATTGCTTCCTGTTAGCATTTCAGCTCCATGGCCAGCTGTGCTTCTACAGCATGGCTTTCTTGACTCTTCCAGTGTTTGGGTTTCCAACTTGCCTAATAACAGACTGGCCCTCACCCTGGTAGACTCTGGTTATGATGCGTGGCTGGGCAACAACAGGAGGAACACATTTTCCAGAAAGCATGTATACTTATCACCAGAATCAAAAGAATTCTGGGCCTTCAGGTAAAATGAGTGGAATATTATTTTATTTGGTTTTGCAAATCAATTTTAGAATAAGAGATATTTGAACCATGAAAATGTTACTAAGATGGAGTAAAATGCCTTGATTTAATATACAAATAATTTAGGCTGCTATTGTGGTCGAAAAGGTCCTTGAGTCATGTGACACCAGGCATGACTAAAATGCTATGTTTTTTGTCATCTCTGTGATGGCTGTTGAGATCTATAACATTTTCATACATAGATCACCAGACCTTTCTTCCTAGTCTGACTTAGACTAGAAATTTTGTTGAAACCTGCCCAGCATCACAACAACAGGACTCCACTGACAGACTTGTGGTGATTGCATTTAATGTCCATTAACAGGAAATTAAACTTACATCTCCCACAGGGAATATGAGAATTCTATCAATTAGTCACTGAAGTTTTCAAAAACATCGACTAAAGAAAATAATACTCCATTATAACTTCATTATTGCATTGAAACAGAAATTTAATATTATGAGATTAATCTAAAGTTTGTGCTTGTTTAGGGTTGGATAAGTAGTATAGTTACATAGCATTTCAAATCATTAAATTATAACATGAAGCCCACATGGACTCACTTTGCTTTAAATTCTTACAGCTTTGATGAAATGGCCAAATATGACTTACCAGCTTTAATCAACTTCATTATAAGGAAGACGGGGCAAGAACAGATACATTATGTAGGACATTCTCAAGGCATTACAGTCGGTATGTTTAAACTAACTCACGTCTTGTAAGAGAAAGGCTCTTCTTTGAAGGTTCTTTCTCTGCTCAACAAGCAGGAAGCCAAGCTTATTTTGCAAATTCTTGCAAGGGGAGATATGAAATGGTTTATTGGATAGACATGCATCCTGCAAGAGAAGATATAAAGGGGCCTAAGGCAATATAGGCCATGTTTCACCAAACAAGGGAAAAAGGAGAGATTTCTAAAGGAGTTTAGGCAGGAAGGACATTATGTTAATCTGTGAAAAGAGGCCAAGAATTAAGTTCAAATGGGTGAAGATATATGAATGGGTGCTAATGCATCAGATGCTCAAAATGAAGATTGTGGCTAAGGCTGCTGGGAGGAGTATCATCATTTATTAAGGGATGGTGCACATGCACCGGGTAGCAAGTTCCTTGGGTTTGGGTGCTCTGCACAAATGTGTTTTGTTGTTGGGTTCAAATTGAGCTCACAGCTATCTGGTCTATTCTTGCTTTTGGGTTAGGTGTGAACTGGCCAAATGCTGAATGCAGGAAGTGCAACTTAACATATTCTTCTTCTTTTTTAATCATTTTATTGGGGACTCGTACAACTCGTATCATAATCCATCCATTCATCCATTGTGTCAAGCACATTCATACATTTGTTACCCTCATCATTCTCAAAACATTTACTTTCTACTTGAGCCCTTGGTGTCAGCTCCTCAGTTTTCCCTCCGCATTAACCCTTGATAATTTAGAAATTATTATTATTTTGTCATGTCTTACACTGTCTGATGTCTACCTTCACCCAATTTTCTGTTGTTCATCCCCCAGGAAGGAGGTTATATGTAGATCCTTGTAATCAATTTCCCCTTTCTACCCCACCTTCCCTCCCCGACCTGGTATCGCCACTCTCACCACTGGTCCTGAAGGGATCATCTGTCCTGATTTCCCTATGTTTCCAATTTCTATCTGTACCAGTGTACATCCTCTGGTCTAGCCAGATTTGAAAGGTAGAATTGGGATCATGATAGTGGACGGGAGGAAGCATTTAAGAACTAGAGGAAAGTTGTATGTTTCATCGTTGCTACACTGCACCCTGACTGGCTGGCCTCCCCATGACCCTTCTGTATCAGGATGTCCTGTTGCCTACAGATGGGCTTTGGGTCCCCACTCTGCACTCCACCCTCATTCTCATTCACAGTGATATGATTGTTTGTTCTTTGATGCCTGATACATGATCCCTTTGACACCTCGTGATCACACAGCCTGGTGTGCTTATTTCATCTGGGTTTTGTTGCTCTGTATGTACCTCTTTGCTCATTAATGTGAAAATTTATATTGTTACTTTTATTGTGGTAAAAGGGTACTTTGTTAACATAGCTTCTATTTTATTTCAGCATTTATAGCATTTTCTGAACATCCTGATTTGGCTCAACAAATCAAAAATATTTTTGCATTATCTCAAGTCTTCTGCTTGGGAAACACAACAGGTCTTACAAAAACACTCCTAAGCTTTCCCCCAATATTTTACAAGGTATGCATGCAATGTACTCACTCACTGTTGAGTTCAGATGTTTTGCTATGTTTCTACCTCTTTTCAACTGTCTGCAAGTACAAAATGCTAGCTCGGTTTATACAACAAAAAGATGCAATAGAAAGTACAGCCAATCTGAAGCAGGAGATCTGGGTTGCAACCCCAATTTTGTAGGTAAATAGTCACTAATCTGTGAACAAGTCACCAAGCCAATTCTAGCTTCCGTTTCTTCTGGATAAAAAAAGAGTTTTATTCAAATCGGTCTACCTATAAAATGTTCTATTCTTACAAGCAAGAATTGATATGATTTCTCCCTTTCAAAACATTCCTTTATTAGAATGTAAAACGATAGCAGAAACGTATCTAAAAGTAAAACATTCCATACACTCTCATTTCTCTTATTATACAGGCAATCCACAGATTACAAACTAGATCTGTTCCTGTGAATTTCAGTATTTAAGAAAAAAATGTAGGTGAGTCAGACCAAGGGCTTATATCTCTTAGTTAGTCCTAGGGAAAGACATTGAAATTTTTCAATGATTTAAAAGCTGGACATGTGATAAAAGAAGGTGATTGTGATGAAGAATGTGTTACCACTGGGGGGGATAGCGGGACTTCGTTTCTCATGCTTTGTACGCGTTGTCAAGACAAACGTGTTTCTAGATATCATGCTTGGTAAAGTAGAGGGTCAAAGAAAAAGAAGATCATCAAGAAGATGGCTGAAACAATGAGCTCAAACAAAATTCTGAGGACGTCACAGGACCAAGCAGTGTTTCATCCGCTGTACATAGGGATGCTATTCGTCTGAACTGACTTGATGGCTTTTAACAACATAAAATATGCTGATTCAGTTATTCAAAGTGAAGGCAAATTTACAACACGAAAAGGCAAGTAGGAGTTGTCTTTGTCCATAAATCTGAAGCCCAACATTTGCTACTAACCCACGTATTGCCAGTACTATAAAAGAGGTGTTTTAATTGGGGATCAATAGAACATTACAGTTGTGGCTTTTACTAGGCACTCTACAGTCATTTCTGACTTATAATAACCCTATATGCAACAGAATTAAACATTGCCTGCCCCTGCACCATCCTCACAATGATTCTTATGTTTGAGCCCATCTATGTAGCCGCTGAGGCAATCCATCTTGTTGAACAGCTAGTCTCTCCTGAGAACATGTCCAAAGTATATGTGCTGTCATCCTTGCCTCTAAGGAGCATTCTGACTGGACATCTTCCTAGACAGGTGTTGGTTCTTTTGGCAGTTGGGGGTACTTTAATGTTCTTTACCAGCACCATGATTCAGATGCATGAATTCTTCTTTTGCCTTCCATATTCAAAGTCCAATTTCACATGCATATGAAGCCATTGAAAATCCCATGGCTTTTATCAGGCATACCTCAGTCCTCAAAATAACATCCTTGCTTTTTAACACTTTAAAGAGGTCTTGTGTAGCAGATTTACCCAATGCAACATGCCATTTGATCTCTTGCCTGCTGCTTCCATGAGCATTGATTGTGGATCCAAGCAAGATGAAATCCTTGACAATGTCCATCTTTTATCTATTTATCATGATGTTACTTATTGGTCCAGTTTTGAGGATTTTGGTCTTCCTTATATTGAATTGTAATTCATACTGAAGGCTACAATCCTTGATCTTCATCAGCAAGTTCTTTAAATCTTCCTCCTTTTCAGTAAGAAAGGCTGTGTCACTTGCATATCTCAGGTTTTTAATAAGCCTTCCTCCAATCCTAAAGCCATGTCTTATTCATATAAACCAGCTTCCCTAGCTATTTGTGCAGCACACAGATTGAATCAATATGATATGATGATGCAACTCTGATGTGCACCTTTCCTGATTGTAAACCATGCAGTATTCCTTTATTCTGTGCACACAACTGCTTCTTGATCTATGTACAAGTTCCACATGAGCACAATGTAATGTTTTGTAATTCTCATTTTTCTCAAGGCTATCTGTAGTTTATTATGGTCCACTCAATTAGTCAATAAAACATAAGTAAACTTTTTCCTCTATTTCCATTGATTCTCCTCCTGTCCCACTATCATGCTCAGTCCCCACCAGGATTTCAGCACTTCCTCTTTGTTACGTTCCCC